ATACCTCTGTGATGAACTAACAAGCAACAACTATTGAACATTTTAAGGATGATAATTTATTTAGAAGATATTAATTAAATAATGCTCCATTGATGTAAAATCTTTATATATTCCAAGAACGAATGATCCCTTATCGATTTGGTTTGGTTGAAGTTGATATTGATGATCATCAAATTAACCATCATAATTAAGCTCTTAACTAGCTTATATTCTTAGCATCGAAGTACTCTTGAGTATAGCAAGAGTTAATTAGTGCTTTAGTGTGATCACATGCCTTAATCTAATAGTATCCTAGTGCTTGGTGCCTCCTGGTTCACCATATGTGTGTGTGTGTAATTCCTTGAAGATATGAAACAAACCTTTATGATGATGTTTGTATTATGGTGCTTTTGTTTATTCAACCATCTCCATGTTTGCTTTAATTCCGTTGTGCGTAGGTCTGAAATTTTAAAAGAAATAATGAATATTAACTAATTTCAATAATTTATATAAATACTCCTCCGGTCCTTATTATAAGACCCCATTTGACTTTTTATTTGGTCCTAATTATAAGACCCCAATCCATTTTGTCTCTTATATTTATATATTTTTTTTCCAAGATAATCCTTCTAATAATGATAGTTTTAGCCAATATACTTAATTAGCAAGGATATTTTAGGAATGACAACACTTATTTATTATAAATAACCAACTTAACTTACTTCCTTAATCTCCTCAAATAAGTCAATTGGGTCTTATAATTAGGACCGGAGGAGTAGGTTTTTTTTTGGGGGGGCAAAATATAAATAGGTATTAGACGTGTATAATAAGGACACGAGGGGATATTTAATTAATCTTCTACTCAAACCAACCACTTGTATAGTAAGGACATGAGGGCCAAAATAAAGATCTTGTAGAAAACAGCAAACTCAGAAGCGTTCGTTCCTATTAGAGACAAGCATCAAGTTTTGACGATGGCAGTTGGACGTGTGTGGGTTTGTGAGCATGCTTAGCACAACACACCTTAAAGAGCCTTTTTCCCCTGGGAAAGACGTTTAAGAGATCAGATGTAAGAAAATTTAATATGCACCCAATACATCGATCTATTACTCAAATGGCACAGGTGACGCACGCACGCCCGCCTACCCACCAGCACGCAGGTTCGCACGCACATAACTTTTGATACTTAATTAATTTGATATTTAATTTAATTCTAAATATAAGATCTTAATATATTTTTAAGACAATTCTTGTAGTAATTACACATGTTAAAAGTTTTATTAAATGATAGTTCTAACAAATTTATACACATGATTAGTAAAGGTATTTTAGGAAGGAAAATATCTATTTATTACAAATAACTAACTTAACTAATCTTTTTAATATATTAAAATTAGTCAGTCAGCTATTATATTAAAACCAAAGGTGATATATATAATTGGCGTTCTATATGACCCCAAAAAAAAAAACACAAACAAACTATGCAGTCAACGCCTGGCATAATCAGAATGGCCTAATAAATCACAATGTACATACATACATATACACATACATACATATACACATACATATATATATATATATATATATGGAACCGGTATGCATATGTAACATGATGCAATCTATAAGATATGTGATATTCCTTCACTCCTTAATATAGAACTTATTTAACTATTTTGATTAAATTAAAAAAATTAGTTAAATTAGATAATAATAATAAATATGGTATATATTTTCCAAAATACTATCAGTTAAAACTCAATGTTTTAAAAGCCGGACCGGAAGTCGAACCGGAAAGATCAATGGGTCATGGTTCAATCGGTCGGATCGGTCAGACCATTCGGTCGGACCGGTGACGCAATAATTAATTTAAAACAATATTATATACATATAATTAGTATATATGAAAAATATCAAATTATTAAATAATTTAGAAATGCATTTAAATAAACTAAAATTATAATGAAATCATTAAAAATGGACTAAAACATTATATATTTAAATTTATGTATGTTTAAAATATTTAATGATATTACAAATTATCAATTCATTCAAATCAAAATATTTTTTTAAAAGATAGACCAAATATCGAAACAAAAAGACTAGCAACTCACGATTTTAACACCACAATATATGAAATTTTTAATGAAATAATACTCTATGGTTATAAATAGTCTAAAAATATATTAGGATATTTAAGGGGATCAATTTTTTTATTTTTCTTCTATTTTTTTAAATGTTTTGTAATTTTTCAGTCAGGTTAAAAAACCGTCCGGTTTTCTGAAAACCGTTCCGGTTCCCGGTCCAACTCCGGTTTCCGGCTTAATAACGGCTCAACCCCGGTCCAATCCGGCTCAACTATGTGAACGGTTTTTTGGTTCAAACCGAGCCGTTAACGAGTCCGGGTGACGGTTCAACCGGTCCGATCGTCCGGTCCGGTCCGGTTCTTTAATCATTGTTAAAACTTCTTTAAAAACCAACATTTCAAAAAAATTTAGACTCTGGTTAACTCGTCTCTGACGTTCCAGTCGTTGAAAATCTACTCGGTCCAACTTCTCTAATTTTTTTTAGTTAGCGAGAGAGGGTGTAATTTAGGGTGTAACTTAGTTTAATGTTTTGCTTCTGCTTCGTTGTTTGTTTTTAATTTCCCTGTTTATAAAAAAAAAGAGTTAAATTTTTTGTTTTTCTTCTGGGAGGAATTTTTTCTATTTAATAGGATAAAGGATAAATATAAGATTATGTTTTTCTAGCCACAAAGAAAATAAATAATATGATTAATATTTTGTTATGCTATTCTTCGGAGGTAAATTAAAAATCCCATCACCTTGAATGGGTATTTAATTTGTATGAAAATATTTATTTAAAAATATTTTGAATCATTTTATTAAAAATATAACACGGTAGAATTGATGTGTGTGTGGAATTAATAAATAATAAGTACTCACTCACTTTATAAAATATATAGGTATATTATTATTGAGTAGTAGGTATTATTATGGTATTTAATTACTTAATAGAGATAATTTAGAAAAGAATTGATAAATATGAAAAATATATTTTATATTTAGGACCAATATCAACATTCTAATTATATCATATATTAAGAACAAGAAAAGTAATAATTTTAAAAACTATACATGCCATAGGTATATATACACTCGTATATGTATAATTAAAAAAGAAATGCCATTAATTAGAGAGAACTGAATTCAAGACAAGAACTTCAAACATGAACAAAAAAAAAAAAAACTCCCAACAAGTCATAAACAAAAAAAATGAAATTAAAATTATATGTTAATACTCATTTATTTATTATATACATATCACTGACATATTTCTGACTTCTGGGAATATATATATATATATATATATATTTATATATATATATATTTGAGAGTTAAAGAAACTTCATAATCTATGAAGATCTTCCGCGATCTGCGACTCATCTTTTGCCATTTGCAACATAATTATTTGAAATGAATAATTAATTTTAAATTTGAATAATATTTTAATTGAGATATGAATATATTGAATTAAACAGGAAGCATCATAATTAAATAATATGTCAATTAGAGGTTTAAATAGAGAAATAATTAATTAATTTTAAATCTTCATATGTTTTTCTAAATTCTGTATCTCTAATTCAAATCCCATTTGAATGAATGAAAAAAAAATTATACTCCTATAAGAAGTGAATCTTGACTAGAATTTAAAATCTAATTAAATATTTTAGTCCATATATCGCAAGTGAGAGAAATTCTTAGTTTTTAAGAAAGAAAGATAATTACTAAAAAAATCTTATAATAATCGAGCAAATTGTAATGACAAATTTCAGGGTATAAAATAAAATATTACAATCATTTTATGGAACTATCAGAAAGACTTTGATATTTCTTTTTTAGTTTATATCCACATAGTTTTTGCGAATCCCTATAGCTTTTGTTCTTATCTTACTCTACATTTCCAAACCATTCTTTGATTTATTCGTTCTTTTTCTTGTTTTAATCTTTTTAGTCGTTCAAGATTGAATTCACAATTCTAGATATCCTTCTCTCCCACTTTACACTTTGAAACGCACCATTGTATAGAGAGAGTGGCGCCTTCACATCTTCTTAAGCCAAAATAGCTGAGAAGAGGAAATGTTCGTTTTTTTTAGGATACTCCAGCAAATAGACCTAGTGGAGATGGGGTGGGGCCTGTAGCTTAGACGATTAGAGTATGTGGCTACAAACCATGGTGTCAAGGGTTAGAATCCCTCCTTGCCCACAATTGGCCAAAAAGAGAAGGACCTTTCCTTCTAGGGTAGGAAAATCATGACCAGAATGGCGGACACAAAAGCTATAGAACTTGGGTTCAGGTATCATTAAAACCTTTTAATAATTATTTTTTTTTGGAAGTTATCGTAATTCTCCCTATAAGTATAGATACCTCTCACACACACACGTTCGTTCAAGCCACACAAAATTCGCCAAGTGCATATCAGTTTCTAAAACATACTGGTGCGTAATAATCCAAGGCGAAATAAAGAACCGAGATCAAATCATAACTCGGTACGCAGGACGAAATTGTAACACGGAAGAATCCAAAGGGGAAGTAATTAAAACTTGACTATATATATTTCAACACGATTAAGCATATATATTTCAACACGATTAGGCACACGCACGCGCGTACACACACACATGGCCGCATTATATGATGATTAATAGTGAAGGCTGAAAATAGAAAAGAAAGGAATAAATAAAAAGCGTGTGATGAAGAGAGGTGGTAGAGAAGCTGAGAGCTGCGTGCACAATGCAGTAACTGGGTACCACAAAGGGCATCCGCTAAAGTAGTGAACGAAACCACGCGTCACTCTCTCCGTCAAACCTGCCACTCCCTTTCATATTTATACCTCTTCACCCTCTCTCTTTGTTCCTCTCGATCCATACTCCCAATGACCTAATAACCAAACGCATCTCTCCTCCTCCTCCTTCTTCTTCAACATTTCTCATCTACTCACTTGTATCAGTCATATTATCTATACGTGAGGCTCTCATATATGGGAAAAGGATCATGGCTCCCGCCGGCACTGATCTCTTGCCTCGTCAGACGCCGACGACGATGAAAAGTGGCGGAGGTGCAATCATGGAGGATTCTAATGGCGACACTTTGGGCAATTTAAACCATTGTTGTAATAATAGTACTGCCACTGGGAAGCCTCCTAGAGATGTTTCCTCCGTGCGTCATTGCAATAGCTCTACCTTACTCGCCGATTCGGTTTGTCTTCTTCCTATCTCTGATCTTTTCTTTGATCGGCTGAGAATCAAAAGTAATAAACAATGATTATGGATTATATGAGTTGGATTGGATTGTCCGTGTGTGCGCTGTGTCTAGGAAGCAGATATTGTGAGGGTAGACTCGATGAAAACACCGACGACGACGGCGGCGGAGGACAAATCGGAGTTCTCACCTGTGTTTCGATCGGGAAGCTGTTCTGAGAAAGGACCCAAGCAGTACATGGAGGATGAGTTCATCGCTGTCGATATTCTCCATGAAAACCTTCCTTCTCCTGGCGCTTTTTACGGGGTTAGATCATTCGATCTCTTCATATATAAATATATATATTGATTAATGAAAATCTATTGTTATTATTAACATGAATAGTGATGAATACAGATATTTGACGGGCACGGAGGTACGGATGCAGCATTGTTTACGAGAAAGAACATCCTCAAGTTTATCACCACAGACTCGCACTTCCCTTGCAGCATCCAAAAGGCGATCAAGAGTGCCTTTGTGAAGGTTGATCACGCCCTAGCCGATGCCATTTCTCTCGATAGATCTTCAGGCACCACTGCTTTAATAGCTTTCATGATGGGAAGGTAATCAATATATGTATATATAACAACCAGATTGTACGCATATATATGTGTGTGTAACAAATTAGACGTAGTATATATGTGATCTTATAGTTGGTTAAGATCACAATGAATTGATATGTAAAGAATTGTGGAGTAGTTCTGACCAAGAGGGAGGTTAAGATAAGTTCTCATATTAGTTCTTTGATATATACTTTCATATCATTGTTGTCTCCGTATATATTGTGGCACGCAGAAGTATGCTAATAGCCAATATAGGCGATTCTAGAGCTGTGTTGGGAAAACGAGGGAGAGCGGTTGAACTGTCCAAGGATCACAAGCCAAACTGCACGTCGGAGAGACTAAGAATAGAGAAACTGGGCGGCGTAATCTACGACGGATACCTCAACGGCCAACTGTCGGTGGCGAGAGCACTAGGAGACTGGCACATCAAAGGCTCGAAAGGATCAAAGAGCCCACTAATCTCAGAGCCAGAGCTTGAAGAGGTGGTTTTAACACAAGAGGACGAGTACTTAATAATGGGTTGTGATGGATTATGGGACGTGATGAGCAGCCAGTGTGCTGTTACGACGGTGAGGAAGGAACTGATGCAGCACAATGATCCGGCGAGGTGTGCGAAAGCACTGGTAACTGAAGCCTTACAACGTAATACATGCGACAATCTAACTGTTGTTGTTGTCTGTTTCTCACAACATCCTCCTCCTAAGCTTCAGGTTCCTGTGCTGCACAAGAGGAGGAGCATCTCAGCTGAGGGCTTGGATCTTCTAAAGGGCGTACTCTCTTGATCCAATTCTCTTTTGTGTTGTCATTATTAGATGCTTCTTCACTCAGATCATTTTCTTGTACATAGTTGTTTTTATTTACAAATGGTGGGGACTTTTCTGATTAGTTTTAATTTGTTGTCCCCCTAAAGGTAGACTTATATCAAATAACGTCGTCCAAACACATATACTATACTTTTACATGTAACATATTTTAACATTTTATAATACTGTTCCTTTTCTTAACTCGTTTATCTTATGCCAAAACATAGGGATATCTCTATAAATATATATATGCATATATATATATATATATATCAACATATAAACGTGAAAGGTATAAAAAAGCATCTTAACGTAAATAAATTTATAATTTAAAGCATAATAAAATATTATAAAATTAACAAAATATCAAACAATTACCGGGGTGTTTGACATCTTTAAAAGTACTTTTAAAAAAAAATTTCATGCAAGTTAAGAGAAAATTTTTCTTACATATTTATTTTGTATATCATAAAATTATTTTTAAAATCATAGTTTGGTTTCAATCCAAATAATTATATATCAATTATGAGCTCTACAATTTTCAAGCTGTGTGGCTGGAAATATCCATCATTTCCGATCGTCCATCCAGGCGTCTGATGGGATCCACTTTGACCGAGCCTATCCATCGCATTATTTTATCATTTATAAGCTGTGTTTATATATAATGATATATATAAAAAGGGGGTTTTTTTTTGCCAACAAAAGGGTTATTTATTCTATATTTTGTTTCTGTTCTTATTCAAAAATTTTAATAAGCATAATATCTTCTTGACCAGATTTTAAAATTGAATAAGAAAATATTTTAAGTTATTTTAATCCAATTTTTCAACACGCATAAAACACGTCTCGCGTGTTTTCTCTCTGTAGCTTACCGTGCACGCACCAACGCATGTCGTTTTTCCTCTTTTTTTTTGGGGAGGGGGGGAGATGGTTTTGGACAATGATTACTAAACGACATTGGTTGTGGCCCGGACAGAGCAAAGCTGTGAACCGGCAAAAACGGCAGGTGGCTCCTCAGTCGTCACATCTGCGAGTCTAATAATATAAAATTAGAAAAAAAATGGCAAATAAGATCCTCCAATATGTAAAATTATGATTTGAAACTCTCAATTTGAAAAATAGAAAATAAATATCTCATCTCATATTATAAATATGAAATCTTGGTGAAATGTCTAAAATGTCTCTCAGCCAAATTGTGATTTAGTCTAGTGAAGTTGTCATTTATTAAGTAAACTTGTCATTTTCTATAATTACTTATCATTTGACATACCCTCAACCAAGGTATAATTTGGCCTACTAAAGTTATCATTTGTTAAAGTGAACTTATAATTTCCCATAGTCAACTTGTTATTTGATTGAGAGGCATTTTAAATATTTCATCAAAATTTCATATTTGCAATTTGAGACCAAATCTTCATTTGCTATTTTTCAAATTGAAGGTCCCAAATCGTAATTTCACATATTAGGGGTCTTTGTCTGATATTTTCCCATAAAATTATAATATTTCCCCTTGAATTGTTTTAAATTTATGGAAAAAAAGGCACAAAACTGGATCCACATATAATGCATTACGTGGTCACGTGTGATAAATTTTATTATTTGATCCAAGATTTCATTTTAAATAATACATTGTGAAATCGTTCGATTATTTAACTCACGCATGCAAACAATGGAGAACTAAAGGGGAAAAACTATCCCATTTGTAAATTTGAAACCATAAATATTACTCCTTAAATCTCAAAATTACAAATCGGTCTTATTTATTATACTTTAATAGCAATTAACTATGTTTGAAAAGTAAATGACAGTATACTTTTGTAATCTCCTATTTTGAAATTTTAAAAGTATTTGTTGGGATTTTTTCTATATTTTATATTTTATATTAATCGACTCTTAAAATTTTATTATTTTTTCTGTGTCATAGCAATTAAAGCCGTGAGAGTAGTTGGTGCAAAACTGGGGATATCTTATCGGCCCAAAAGAATAAAAAAATGAATGGGATATCCGAAAGAAGGAGTTACCTGTGAGAAAGAGACATTCATTCAATCCCTTTTGGGGCGAATAATTTGGAGTTTTTGGACGATGGGCAATTAATCTTTTATGAAAAAATATCATAGAAATGTTAATGTTAATTATAAACGTTTCTCATTTTGTCTGATGTATTAGTGCACATGTGAAGTTATGCTCTCGCAAAAAAAATTAAAATGCATCAGATATCTTGAAATATTTTTTTTAAGTGTATTCGGTATTTCGAAGTAATTTTTAAGAGGATTTAGTATCCTGAAATTTTTTTTTAAAAACAATTCATGAAACTGAAAAGAGGAATTTGCATTATATTGGTAGTGAGAGAGAAAATGTTAGGAAGACACAGAAGCTTTTGATAGAAACTGAAGTCAGAAACAACAGCATCCGTCCATTTATTTATTTTACTGAATAGCAATAGAAGGTTTTAGGACATTAGGATACTAATTGATGATTTAAGCATCCTCAACTTGCTAGCACATAATGACAAACTTGTCGATATTTTTGTGATCTCATTTAACCTAAAATTAATTACAATACTTAAACTGGGCTAAATCATATTTTTATTTTACACTGGATTTTCAAAACCTATATCCTATAATTTTAAGGGATAATAAATGAGTCAGTTTTCATAAGTATGGTCTGTTTTCCCCGTTCGATTAATAACAGGTTTTAAATAATGTAATTCTTTAATAAATTATAATCTGAGGTTTGAAATATACCATAAATATTTCGAATTTATAATTTTAAGTATCACGGTTGATGGCTTTGAAAAGTATTGGTTATAGGAATTTGAAAGCATGAGTATGCTGACTTCGATTCCTTACGGAAGTTTTAATTTTGAAAGTCTTAGAAGCGTGGTTATATAGATTATGTGCTTAGCTTCCTCAAATCTCATTTTTCTTAAATAAGAGGATTAAAGGGCCAATCAAAATGGTAGAGAAAGCATCTGCTAATTAAGACCCTCTGAAGATATCTATTGGCAGAGAAAATCTTTTCCCTTTTCATTTTCAAGCCGGACTCCTTTTTTTTTTTAAAGGATTTAATAAATCTCTTGAAAGTTTCAAAATTTTCACCGTTTGCTTGTACCGAATTTTAAAAAAAAGGCTCCGTCTTAATATTAAAGATAAACATTATTTTATAATTTTATAATAAAAAAAATGCTCTCCCATGACCATCGTTTTTTAATATTTTTATCTACGTACTTATAAGTTAGGTGTATAATTTATTTGTGTAATTTATTATTTATGAATAATGCAGCTTTCTAATATACTTTTTTTTATAATTTACATTAACTGGCGCTGATGATGGTGATTTTTTCCCCTAAAATAATATTGGTGAGATAGAAAGAGAAAGAAGATATTTTGATGAATGGAAAAAGAGATTTTACGGTTACACATTATTTGGTCCATTTTTTTATTTTTCACATAAAGAAGTCTATTTTATAAGAGACTATTTTGAGGGTTTTTTTTTTTTAAATCCTATTCCTCCCTATTTATACTCTCATTAAAAGGGAGTATTTATAAATAATTAATTATTAAATTCATCAATTGATTATTAAATGAAGACATTTTTTTTAAAAAAAAACTAATTTTTTGGTTTCGAGCATCAATTATTATTTATTTGTTTCCTAATTAAAGGGAGAAGGGACAGGTGAGAGCAATTTGTGAAATTTTATATTTTTCATTCTTTATTTAATTGACAACTTGTCCTCAACTTGTCCGCAACTTGGGCCTTGCTGTCATTTATCATAACGTGTGTTTTAAAAAAGAAAAGAAGTTGTTTTTTATTTCAAGTTCAGCCAATAATCGAACTTCATTATTGTTTTTTTTTTCCCCAACTAATCCAACTTTATATTGGCTTCCTCTGACTCGGAACGTGATCAGATCACGCCCCACACGAGATTATCTCTCGTCTCAATCTTCCTCTCCCTCTCCTCCAACGGCGATCATCTCTCTGTTTGTTTCCTGCTCCAAATTTGATTCCCAGCTCCAATCCGTTTTTTTCCCCCGTCGATTCCCACTCACTTTCTCCGGATTGAACATTGAACAATCAAAAGCAGCCGCCATTCGTGTAATTACAACTAGCCAGCCCAGAAATTCAAGCCAATGGGGTTGGAGAATCAAGCAAGTTCATCGTCCTACTCTTTACCACCGTACCCACGAGAAGACACTCCTCTTCTGACCAAATCGCCTCCTCTTTCCTCCAACTTCAAGACCTTCGCCAACATCTTCATCGCCATTGTAGGTGCTGGTGTCCTTGGTCTTCCCTATTGCTTCAAGCGAACGGGATGGGTCCTGGGCTTACTCATGCTTTTCACCGTCGCTTTTCTCACCTATCACTGCATGATGCTTCTGGTCTACACTCGCCGTAGGCTCGAATCGATCACGGGTTTCTCCAAAATCAACTCATTCGGCGATCTCGGCTTCGCCATCTGTGGTCCCATCGGCAGATTCTCCGTCGACGCCATGATCGTCCTTTCTCAAGCTGGGTTCTGCGTGAGCTACCTAATCTTCATTTCCAATACTATGGCACATTTAGTGAGCCATAACACACCAACATCCCCGATTTTGGGTTTATCCCCGAAAGTCCTATTCCTCTGGGGTTGCTTTCCGTTTCAATTGGGGTTGAATTCCATTCGAACTTTGACCCACCTGGCTCCTCTTAGCATATTCGCTGATGTGGTCGATATAGCAGCGAAGAGTATAGTTATGGTGGAGGATGTGTTTGTGTTTATGAAGAACAGGCACGCTTTAGAAGCATTTGGTAGCATTTCGGTATTCTTCTATGGTGTTGGTGTGGCAGTGTATGCTTTCGAAGGAATTGGAATGATTTTGCCTTTGGAATCAGAAGCCAAGGACAAACAGAATTTTGGAAGGATCCTAGGTTTGGGTATGACAGTGATTTCTCTTCTGTTTGGAGCATTTGGCGCTCTTGGTTACTTTGCTTTTGGGAATGAAACCAAAGATATCATCACTACCAATCTGGGACCAGGACTCGTGAGCACTCTGGTTCAATTGGGACTCTCTATCAACCTGTTCTTCACTTTTCCATTGATGATGAACCCTGTTTATGAAGTTGTGGAAAGAAGGCTGTGTGATTCTAGGTACTGCTTGTGGCTGAGGTGGTTGATGGTATTAGGGGTAAGCTTGGTGGCTCTTTTGGTGCCAAATTTTGCGGATTTTCTGTCACTAGTAGGAAGCAGTGTGTGTGTTGTGCTAAGCTTTATATTGCCTGCCATGTTCTATTATCTGGCATTCAAAAATGAGTTGGGTTGGAGATCTAAGATCTGTAATGGTGCAATTGTTGTTTTCGGATGCATTGTGGCAATCTCAGGAACTTGGTCTTCTTTGATGGAGATTTTTGCACCTAAGGCTTAATTGGGTATAAACATTTCACTTTGCTGTTTGATATATTTATAACTATTCAGCCACAAAAGGCCGTGAAAGTTGGGTTGGGATTCACAGGAGTTTAAGTCTTGTTCATCCAATCCAATGCGGGGGAGGATTCATTTCAGTCTGTTGGGATTCGATACGAGGATTTTAGTCTTGTCTTGTCTAAAATCTCATCCCTTAAATGCAATCTTCGGGAGGATTTCAGTGTTGCTTTTTAGTTTTTAGAGTCCAAAAAGGTTTCAGTCTGGTCTCGTATGAAATCTCAGCCCTTAATACGATCGAAGGGACTTGAGATTCCATACAATTCAAAGGGATCACATGAACTGGATAGTAGTTGTAAACTAGTAAGTGCTGAATGATGAAATAAAAGGTTGCTGATTTGCCAGGCAACTAGCGTGTTTTTAATTTTTGATTCTCTCATTAGATCATGTAAATTCGAAGAAATAAATGTAAGAAATAGCATGCCACCCAAGAGGGGTGTTAAAGTTGTAGAATATTTAAAATGTTTTTATAATAAATAGAGTTTCTTTGTTGAAGTAAATCCAATGTTAGAATCTTATTGGCAAAAATACTTGAACGATTTCCACAATTTAGAAGCTAGAATAGGATTTCTAGAAGGTAATTTTGAAGTTAAAGCTATAAATACTTGAAATTCAGCTTTAAATAATAAAATAGAATGCAAACAAAAGCCGCTACAAATATAAAGAGTTAAAGGATCAAGAGCTTGCAACCAGTAATTCTCTCTGTTTTAACTCTGTTTACTTGAGCCTATTTTCAACCACAATTACGAGAAATCCATCAGAAATCAACTTTGAAATTTGTTGAGCTAAAATCCTTTTCAAACATTTTTTAAATTGTAAGGATAAGGTGTCTCTTAGATAGTTTATAAAGGTGAGATATCTCCAAAGAGAAGAGTCTTCACTGTGATGACTCGCAGGTGACTAATTTAAACTTGGGGACAATAGGAAAAGAACGCATTACCCTTTTAGAAATTGAAAACAGGTTCAAGTGAATAGAGTTAAAACAGAGTAAATTATTGTTTGCTAGCTCTTCATCCTTTTACTCTTTGCATTTGTTTTGTAGTGGATGTTGTTTGCATTCTGTTTTATTATTTAAAACTGAATTTCAAGTATTTTTATAGCGCTTCTAACGTTGGATTCACTTAAACAGACACACTCTATTTATTATAAAAATATTTTAAATATCCTAAAAATTTAACACCCCTCTTATGTGGTATGCTATTTCTTAAATTTTTTTTCTTCAAATCTACATTATCTAATTCCAGAAGGGGGAAAAAAAAAAGGCGGAAGGGGGGGTAAAAGAGAATCAAAGATTAAAAACGTGCTAGTTGTCTGGCAAATCAGCAACCTTTTATTTCATGATTCTACACTTGCTAGTTTACACAAAGAGCAAGATGAGGAGACTGAAATTTTATTACTCAAATGATAAAGATAAAAACATTTGATGGCTCAATAAATAATGATTTCCAATAAAAAATAATTAAACATTTCGACATTTTAAAAATATTTTGAGTTTGCAAAACACGTTTGGTCAAAAATGCCTCCGTGGATATCATAAAAAATTAATTTTAAAGGTCAAAGTCATGGTTGCATTAAATCGTTCAAATACCTTCATTTTTCTCAAGCCGTGATTTCAAGCCTCAATCATGTTATGTCATAAACAACCTATGTCTATGTCTGCGTTTCAATTCTACTCAAAATCAATTTCCCAACATCTTCATCTTAATACTCTTGAAAAGCAAATATATCTCCATTGATCCACCACACAAAATAGGTCATCAAAGGTTAAGAACGAGTATGGTCTAATGTTCTTTTTCTTCTTCGGATAATACCAATGTTCGCTTTCTTCGTGTAAATAAGTACATGTATAATACAAATAAAGCAGACACAACATATACTGTTGTGCACAGGGCCATTGCTATAGTATATGGAGATGCCTGATGTGTGATTTTAAAATAGGCTTGTACGGTAAATTTAATACGCGCATTCATAGACGAGACAGAGAAACGAAGAAGGAAGGAAGGTGGAGAAAAAAGTGGAAAGATTGAAGAGCGTCTCTTGTCTCGCCTCACAAATATTGGCACTTTTCTCTCTCTCCTTTCTTTATTTCCTTTCCCCCAAATCAAAGCTTCAAATTTGGTCATGTCCTAGAAATCCCACGTCCAAGCAATTTCAATCAATAGTCAAATCATTTCTTAATTCGATTCAGATCAGACTTTTAACGGAAAATTAACAAGTCCAAGAAAACTTGTGAAAGGAGATGTCTTGCTCATCGTCATCCGGGTCTGAGGAAGAGGATGAGGGCTTCGATTCCTACAGAAAAGGAGGCTACCACGCCGTCAGGGTCGGCGATCAGTTCGCCGGTGGGAGGTACATAGCACAGAGGAAGCTGGGGTGGGGTCAGTTTTCCACCGTCTGGCTCGCTTACGATACTCGCAATTCTGTATGTTTGATCCTCGCTTTTTTATCTCCCACACTGTATTTTCTGAATTTGGTATCCTACTAATAGTTACTTCAAAGAGAGGGAGATTTTCTTGAGTCGCTTGTCCGTCATCTTTGATTGATTTGGCGTATGATTCGTGTCCCAGATGCGAAACTCTACACATCATTTCCTGTTGATGCAATCTGTTTTAAATCTATAGGAGTAGAGTTATGAATAATTTTGATGCTGATGTATTGGTATTCTTCTTATTTGGGCAAAGGCAATAACTTGCTCTGTTTTTTTTCCCCCCCTCCCTTTTTAAAGGTGAAGGTTCCAAGATCTTCCTTACATATCTTCCACCGACACTTTATTGAACTATTGATCCATAGTCCAAATTACGTAGAAATTGTGTTTTGATCTGTGATAGATTTTATTTCAGCATTTTTTTTCCTCCCTGCTTCTATGCTTTGGTTCGTCCTTACCTTAGATTTTCAAAATTTCTATATTAACTTTTCTATCCTAATTATATCACTCTATTAAACTAATCGAATGTAGATTCATTGGTTTTGGGATGGCAATATCGTTAACTGGCAAATCTTGTTTTCATCTGACAACACTCCGGTACCTTCTTTCTCAACTAGTGTACGTAGTTGTCAAGATGTATCACAAGTATACAAATTCTTCTTGTTGGAATATAACGGCCAATGGTCACCACGGATGTTTTCACATTTACGCTTCTTATATGCTGACACAATGATGCTTATGGATCTGGATTCTTTGCTGCTCTGCAGCAGCAACAGATCTGGATTGTCTTGGAAACATCAGTAGAGGATCCATGTCCAATGCTTATAGACTGTTTATTTCTATTTTGCTTCATTCTAAAATTTAATAATGGAATCTTCAGGGCCTATATTGGCCACTCTCGTTGGTAGGCATGCAGTGAGCTGCATGTGGCAACGATGTCAATCTTAATTCTAATTTGGATCAGGCAAAACAGAGTGTTTAGAGTCTTTAAAACGAACAATTACCAGGGTCATGGGTTTGCTACTTTTGCTACCTCAAACCACTTTATTTGATGTAGAACTTACATTAATGCTTGAATTTGGTAGAGAGAAAGGGTCTAAAGAAAAAAGAAATGCAGAGAGAGAGAGAGAGAGAGAGAACAATCTGAGTCTGTATTTTTTACATCGAATATATTCTAATGTGAATTTTGTGGTTTTCAGACATATGTTGCCCTCAAAATCCAGAAAAGTGCAGCCCAGTTTGCCGAGGCCGCCCTTCATGAGATAAATGTTCTTTCATCCATTGCTGAGGGAGACCCTTCAAATTCAAAGTGTGTCGTCCAATTGATTGACAACTTTAAGCATTCAGGCCCAAATGGGCAGCACCACTGCATGGTCCTTGAGTTCCTTGGTGATAGCTTGCTTCGTCTGATCAGATATAGACGTTACAAAGGCCTTCCAATGAATAAAGTTAGAGAAATTTGTAAATGCATTTTGATTGGTTTGGATTACTTGCATAGCGAACTTCGCATAATCCACTCAGACCTAAAACCTGAAAATGTCCTCCTCTTATCCACCATTGATCCTGCCAAAGACCCAGTTAGATCTGGACAAAGCCCGATTCTGGAGAGGCCTGAGGGAAGCATAAATATGGGATTTTCAAGTGTTATTGAGAAAAAGTTGAAAAGGAGAGCCAGAAGAGCAGTTGCTAAAATATCAGGAAGAACTTCTTTAGGAGAAGCTGGAGAGGCTCCAAAATCTGATAGAAATGTTGATGGAATTGATGTGCAATGCAAGATAGTTGATTTTGGAAATGCGTGCTGGGCAGATAAGCCATTTGCAGAGGAAATCCAGACGAGGCAGTACAGAGCTCCTGAAGTTATACTGCAGGCTGGGTACTCCTCCTCTGTTGACATGTGGTCTTTTGCTTGCATTGCTTTTGAGCTCGCCACAGGTGATATGATGTTTACTCCCAAGCCAGGACAAGGTTTTAGTGAGGATGAGGTATATGGTTTGCACTTTCTAGTTCATAAGAAATAGTAGCTGCTTAGTGAAATTATGATATTGTTTATGCATAGGCTGATTGGTAGCTTGGACTTGTTTGCTGCAATATAGTAGTTAGATGATCACATAACAAATATCTGGCTTCGCTAATTTTGAGAGTTATAGCTTTGTAGGGCCTTAAACCAGTGGAGTCTTATTGCTTAATCCTGTCTAAAATGATTCAATATATGTTACTATGTTGGGTACCAAAATAGCAAAGAAAATAGAGTAGGATAGAATATTATCTAGAGCCAGAATCTGTAACTCTAGAAAGAAGAGAAGGAGAAGTTTGGTCTGAATAATACTGCCATTACATCACGATAACTGATACATGATTGTCTTAAATAGTTTGGATAACAATAAGTGGCTAATATTAAAGTAGAAACTTACAATAACCAGCAAATAGAAACTGACTTACAGATTGATTAAGTTAAAAACTACCTCATATCCTCTCACTTTCTCCTAGAGTACACAAGGAGAGGAAGCTGAGTGCTAACATACTAAATAGAACATGATGGGCATCCAAGTGGGGTGGGGACCCTTCTCTGAATAGCTATTGAGGTGGGAGAACTACCCCACTTAACTACCTCATGATCATCTTGCACCACTAAACGTGGAGTCAGACATCACATACTATATAGACGTTTAGTTTTTTTTTTCCCTGCTGATTGTTATTTCACACAATCCATAAGCATGCAGTGAGTGCAAGCATCTTTAAATGTGGAATTTGAATTATACTTTGATTTGTTCATAAAAGAAAAAGGAATAGTTATTGTCAAATTCTTAGTTTAAATGGCAAATTAAACTGGTTCTGACTGCATTAATGCCGTGCATTGTGTTGACTTCAGGACCACCTTGCCCTGATGATGGAACTCCTTGGAAAGATGCCCCGGAAGGTGAATGTTCATATTTATACTATCTTAGCGTAGTTCTTGGAAGCTATTCCGGTATTCCTAATACTTGTAAAATGCAGGTTGCCGTCAGTGGAGCGAAATCCAAGGATTACTTTGACAGACATGGGGATCTAAAAAGAATTAGGAGGCTAAAATTCTGGCCACTTGACAAATTTTTGATTGATAAATACAAATTTTCAGAGAGTGATGCTCGTGAGTTCTCAGAATTTATTTCTCCACTTCTGGATTTTTCCCCAGAGAAGCGGCCAACTGCACAACACTGTTTAGAACACCCATGGCTTAGTGGTCAAGCCAACTCCAAATAATGAGAAATGATTCTAGTTTGTGAAAGGTTGATGGTTGGGGCTTTATAAAACTAATGGGAGAAAGCGAAGGGAAGAAAAGTATTTGACAGAGCCATAGTTACTGCATTTTAAGCTCCTCCTTCCACATATAATAACCTGTTATTGGTTGTGATTCTTTGTTGATTTGTTCCGGTTGTTATTTTTTTATTGGGTTAATATACACAAAGATGTATAGTAGAGAATTTTGTTCCTCTAGAGACAATATACACAGGAATTTGCGTGTATATTCTTTTTTTAATTAATAAAGTTATTTTGGATCCAATGTTATTGTATGATCAAATCCCAGTGTTTTTCAGATCCATTTTGCATCTTTTTTTTGTTTTCTTTTTCAGTCTCTCCATATGTTTTAACTGTGGTTGACAACTTGACATTCATCCCAATAAGTTGTAAAAGCTTGAAGCTTTGGTTGGAGTGCGTTTACTATTAAAATTTTCACATAAATATTTAATTATGTCTTTATTTATTATTCATGAACATAAGCTGTTCAAATATAAAGTAGATATTAAATAGAAATAAAATTAAAAAATTATTAAATTTAAAGATAAAATTATCAATATTTAATTTTTCCCCCTAATTTTGGTATAAAATATGTTAGAAATGTCTTATAAATGAAAGAGGAGAGCATGAATTACATTATTTTTAGATTCTACATAATTTTTATTCCTAGGAGGAGAAGGGGGAAAATAGCAGCAACAGGGAACTTTATCGGATGGAAAGATTAGCCAAATCATGACTTTTTATGGCAAATTTAATTAGCAAGAAGTTACACAAACAACTTAAAACCAATCCAAATTTTTAAGAATACCCATTCCAAACTAAAACTACAGCTACCAGAAAGGTTGGTAATATGAAAATTAAGACATGACGAAGCAAACGAAGACGAAGAAGAGCTGTTATTTTGGTGCTACCCATACAAGGCGAAACCAAATCATCGGAAAAGTCGAAAAGGAAACATGCGCCGCCATTCAAATCCATTTTGTTTTTGTTTTTGTTTTTTTAATTTTTTAAATATATTTGGTAGTTCATATAATAAAGAGAGAAGAAAAAAACCCAACCTTTTTTGTTTATGGAAATCTAATAACCTCTTATAATCAGAATAGGGCTAAAATAACAAAGTTCACGTTAAAATTGAGCCAGTTTACCAATCCAATTGGCATCCCGCAGCATAAGTCTTAGCCTTCGTATAAACATGATTAAGAATATGCTGTCCTCTAATTTGCACCTTCATGTATTATTACCTCTTCTCATCAAATGAACTAGTTTTCTTCCCCTTCTAACAAAACACATGAAGTAAGATCCATGTGATAGATGAACTTTTGTACCAACTGCTACATTCACTCATTTGCTTACCATAGAAAATGCACCATTCCTAGTTCACATTAGGTTTCAACAGTCTTGAATCCTCAAGGGTAATCATGTTAATACGGTAATATGGAACTACGGGAACAAGCATTTGTTCAATAATAACCTTTGATTTTGCAAGACCATCTATTAACGCCACCACACCCCCATGCTCAGGCACAGGTGCATATGAAAGACACAGCATACACATCATTAACTTTGGAAATTTTCATTTCTCCTTTAGGAACCCCAAAATGCACTTAATTCAATAACAGAAATTTCATATACAGGAAGGAATTAAAAAAATTTCGCCATCAGGAGCAGATGTATCACTTAATAGAACAGACATTATCATCATAAATCCCTTCAATTTTGTCACCTTTAGCACCTGTCTTCAACCAGCTAGATAGAGCTCTGCTTTCAAATAAAGGTTGTTTAACACATCTATTTAAGAACCCACACTAAACCTTAGTTTTAAGGTAGTTCAAAAGCATAACTCTACAATGTACAGAGAGGAAAATAAATAAAAGCACACCAAAGACACAGGATGGCACTAATGTACTGAAAGTATACAGGGTTTTTTCATCTATACTAGCTAAATCAAACGAATTTTAGCAAGAGGAACTTTTCTTATTTCAGTTTAACCTCGTTTCTATATAAATGATCCAACAAAGGACTGAACAATTTTATTTTATTTTTAATAGCGAAAATATACCCTCTCTCTCCTCTCATTTCTAACTCTCATCAGTTTATGTTAAAACACAATAACTATTACTCACAACACACAGGAATTACCAATCTCTCTCCCGACCACCTTAAGATCTCTCAGCGCCTCCTCAGTAACATACTAGAAACTCTCAAAAGATCTACATTTCATCTTAGTGAGAAAAGCCAAAGCATTGATATGACATAGAAGTGCATAATTGTCCAGATAGAGAGTAATAGCAATTCTGTCACCAACTCACACAATCACATAAGCTAAAAAGAAATAAAAAGACTATGGGGTTGCTCTACGGTCATATTCCCCTTTCTAATCCCAACTGAACAAACCAGGATTGTACCCGAGAAAAAAAAAAGAGAAAGAATCACCAATAGAAGATATAAAAAATGTGACTCATCTTGAGCTTTGTACAAATGCATAAAGACCATTTTATTAAATAACTCAGTAGGCAACCATGATCATTCAGAACTCAAAACATGTTCAGACACAAAGAATAACAAGCCAAAAAAAGGGAAGATAAAGTAAAGCAATGGAGCTCCTCCAATACACAATAGCATCTACAATTGCATAACAAGCAAGATGCACTAAAAAAAAAAAAAGAGGAGCAAATATCGAAGGAAACGTTTTGAAAAATTAGTGAGTATTGCAAAACATATGTGTTGCCTGAATTTATCAAACACTCATATCTATCCCCAAAATAAGGTCTGAATTCGTTCATTACGCTTATTCGCCCATGAGTAGATAACAAAAAAAGGTGATAACAATAACAACATTAATGGGTATGGCTTAATAACAAAAGCCTTTCATAAAATCTTAAAGAAGGGGATGATGTTGCAGATTCCAGCACAAAAATTTGCGAAACATATATAATCCTCACTTCACAAAACTTCGATAGTTTAGTATACAAAACAACCAAAGGTTCAAATTCCAAAGAATTCGTAAGCCATTCAATCTTATCTTACCGAAAAACAGAAGAAAAGAAACAAAAGGTAAGCCCCTCAATTGATTTTTCCATAAATTGTTAAAATAGGTTATAAATCTAGAACCCTAACCGCTCGGACCAGCTTGATCATGATTCCCAGAACAGCACCCGCCATCACCATGATCATGGGGATGTTTATCAGGGTTATGGCCGTGCTCGTCATCTTCATCGCTATCGTCTTCATCAAAGGGTTTCTGTTTGTGAAAGATACAGCACTTCTTGGAGCTCTTCTTCTGCATAAACTCGTTGTCTATGGTGCCATCTTTCCAGCTGACCTTCTTCTTCTTGCGATTAAGGGGAAGGAAAAGGACTTCCGGCTGCTGGTGCTGTTGTTGTGATTGGTCCTGCGACGAAGAGGATGGATCGCTGGAATTAATGGTTACGGTGGTTGTGGCGGTGGTGGAAGGCGAAGACAAAGCTAACTGCCTGGTCGAGCCCATCGGTCTGGCGGCCATCGCTGGCGGATCAAAATCTGAGGAAGTTTCAGGAACCACGAATGACGCGGGAGTTTTCTCTGAAACAACTTGATCGTTTCGTCATATTCCCCTCTCACCGTCGCTGGTTTTTAATAAAAGAAAATTAAAATTATTTGTCTTACAACACTTGAAGAATTCCGGAAAGATTTCATCCTAAGTGCTGTCAGACCTCCACTAAATAGGTCACAAGTCCCTCCATATTTATAATAAATAGGTATTATCTTCCTTAAAATACTCTTACAAAGTCTTACTCATCAAATGTACTAGTTAAAACTAATATTTGATAAAATTTTTAATATGTATAACCAGTGGTTCTCTTAAAATAAATAAATAAATATAAAAAATAAAATGAATTAAAATTTATATTTTTTTGGTTAAAATATAGTTATCCTTCTATTGGAGACAACCCTATTCGAAACACTGTTAAACACTAAATGTAAATATCTCTCTTAACTGGAATTTAAATTTTAATTCACCACGGTACGAGAGATTAGCTTTCTCGCTAAACTAACCCATTGATAATTGAAATTTATATTTAGATATGTTAAACATGGGAGTAGCATTTTGAATTAGGCGTGGGCCCATGCATTTCATTCTGGTCTTGGGCCACTCCACGGTTATCGTTGGAGTCCAGAGAGCAAAGAAAATTTTCTCTTTAGCAAGGACATTGTCTTCTCATTATATTAGAGGTAATTTTCTTTGAGATACTATCAGACATTATATATAAACACATCTTTTAGTAAAAATTTAAGCCTTGATTCACTATGCTATGAAAAAATTTTTTTTTTGTTAGGCTCAGCCCTCTTATTGGTGAAAGCAAAGTAAATTGACTGAATAAAGAGGAGGAGGAATAGAGTTCAAACACTCAAAGATGACCAAAACAATTAGATAGAAGGCAAAAATGAAGTTGGCCAGCTTGTTAACAAGTTCTTCCAAAAGTTGTTTACCGAAGAAGATGAATAAAGACCTTGGGTTCAGACCAAACAAACCTGGCCATCTATTGGTTTAGAGGAATGGGCAGAGATAAATGCAAACATCTCAAATGAAGACATTAAAGCTGCTATGTTTTCAATAGGAGGACTGAAAGCACCAGGTGATGATGGATACCCAACAATTTTCTTTTAGAAAAATTGGGAGCTCATAGGAAATGATGTCTGCAAAGTAGTGAGAAATCTATGGGAAAATCCGAGAAGAATAGAAGAGGTGAACAACACTATGATTACTTTGATTCTGAAGGTAGACTGCCCTGAAAGAGTTCAGTAGCTTAGACCCATCTCCTTATGTAACGTGATCTATAAATGTCTTTCCAAAGTGATTGTGATAAGACTAAAGGAGGTCATGACACGACTAATATCCCTCTTTCAAGTCAGCTTCATTCCGGGAAGAAATATTCATGACAATATCATCATTGTTAATGAAATGATCCACTCCATGAGAAAGAAAAAAAAGGGAAAAAAAAGGATTTATGGCAATCAAAGTGGACCTAGAAAAAGCTTATGAAAGACTCAGTTAGAAATACCTCCATAAAGTCTTGGAGGAATTAGCTTGCCCAGAAGATATGATAAATAGAATCATGAGATGCGTGGATACCACTTCAACAAAAATTATCTGGCATGGAGAAAAATTAGAGACCTTCTACCCTTATAGGGGTCTTCAACAAGGGGATCCTCTCTCCCCCAATCTCTTTATGCTCGGCATGAAAAAACTTACACATATGATTAGTGAGAGAGTCAGAGAGAAACACTGGAGATGAATGAAAGCAGGTCGAAATGGGCCCATCATATCACATATGATGTTTACTGACGATTTTGTTCTTTTTGCAGAGGCAGACTTAGATCAAATTGACGTGATTCTAAAATGCTTGCAGGAGTTTGGAGACATGTCGGGGCACTGTGTGGGCCAGGAAAAGACTTACATCTACTTCTCACCTAACGTAGCTCAACATTAAAGGTGAGTAATCTGCAATAGAAGCAAATTCTAGCAGGTGAACAAACTGGGACGCTACTTGGGTGCAGATATCTCATTTCTGAGAAAAAGGAGAGACAAATACAACACCATTATTGATCGAGTGAAGAAACGACTTAGCGGGTGGAAAGCTTCCCGTCTCTCAATGGCCGGAAGGTTAACTTTGGTGAAATCAATGACGAGCTCAGTGGCACTCTATCCGATGCAACATGACAAGATACCTCATGGAGTGATTGAGCAACTGGAAAAAATACAAAGGAGCTTTGTTTGGGGTGACACAGAGGAAAGCAGACATTGGCATGCAGTTGCTTGGGAGAAGATGTGTAAACCTAAGGGCGAAGGAGGGGTAGGAATCAAGTCACTCAAATGCATGAATGAAGCCTTGCTCATTAAGCTTTTTTGGAGAGCCCATCAAGACCCGAAGGATCTTTGGGTTAAGGTGATCCAAGCAAAATATGGAGGAATAGCCAAGGTGATAAGCAATTGGTAAGGAGAAGTGGAGACTCAAGACTATGGAGAGAACTTACCAAGCTGTGGGAGGCTTATGTTACGAACCTGGAATATATTCCAGGAGAGGAAACGAGAGATGAGGAGGGGAGGGATATAGAAAGAGAAAAGTTGCACTGGAAACTGACAAGCAATGACAAGTTTACCACTGCAAGTGCTTATAAATTCCTTCATGCTAATAAGGAGAGAGTGGAGGAGACGATATGGAAGGAATGTTGGAAAATTCAAGCTCCAGAGAGAGTAAGGCTGTTCTTATGGCATGTGTTACCCAAAAGGCTACTAACAAAAGAAATTACTAGAAGGTGGGATGGAAGTGTGGGAAGGTGTGAAATCTGTCAAAATCAGACAGAAACTCTAATCCATGCACTAAGGGATTGTCCACATGCAACATATGTGTGGCGACAACTAGTGCTAATTGACAGGAGAGCAAGTTTTTTTGGTAAGGAGTGGTCTGACCGGCTAAAAAACAATTTAACAAGGAGATCAGTGAATGGATATGAGGGAAACTGGGCTGATATTTTTACTGTAGTATGCTGGTTTATTTGGATATGGAGGAATAAGAAGATACATGAAGAGGAATTTACATTACTGAATAATGCAGCAGAAGTTATTTGAACCTATATCAGCAATTATCAGCAAAAATGGGATGGTAATAGCTTGGAGGGGACAAGAAGCACTATGGTAATTGTAACATCACCACTTACTAACCAGAACTAACCATGATAGAAAAGATTAAAACTAGTAAACATACCCTATCATGGTTATTTAAGAGCAATCACATCTTTAAAGGGCTAACCATGATAGAAAAACATTCGACCTTAATTAAGACTATCATGGTTAGAAAAAGAATAACCTATAGTTGTAATCACGGCAAACATGGTTATAAAACAATACGCCTTTGAATAATAAATTATAATAGTAGTTTAGACTTGACTATCTTAGTCAGCACTAGCAACAACTAAACTTGCCAAAATTGCCATTATCGCATCGTGGATCCACAGTAATTCAATCACATGCAATCTAAAGGCCTCAGGCCCACTACCAGCACTCTAGTCCAATGTCCAGACAAAATAAACCAAAGATAGAAAGTATGATACGTCCACTAAGTCAAACGACATGAAAATATAAGGAGGTAAAATAAGTTCCAATGAATGCAGTCCTGATGCGTGGCAATATACGAAAAGATTACATAAAACAAGGTCCAGAAGCTCTACACTGTCAGCTACAGCTATTGAGCCTCAGGAGTCTTCCCCGAAGGTCCCGCTAACGTATTGTTTCCTGAAAATGGTAAAGCAACAGGAGTGAGACAACGTCTCAGTAACTAAATCCCTACCTATCCCACACCCTAGCATGGGCTAGCGAGGTGTCAGGTGGGATACACAGAGTTAATAATAGTTGATAAACCTTTATTTAACATTTAAACTCACAATAATCATACAAGACAAATATTTCCACCAGTCTCATGCAATGGATACATTTCAAAAGAAATAACATACTTGTCCTTTATTTAAAAGATATAAATATCAATGAATATCTCATGTCATATGCAATTCCTGAACCCAAACCCATCCTTATATCCTCCTTATTTCCGCCGACTGGACCCATGGGCTAAGTTCTTTCCATTTGATTGGCAACTCTAACAAGCTCACCACACGAATGATGTGGACCGGCCAAAGACCACAGAGCACTCGGTGGACCATGGGTCCCCCCTCGAAGAACTAGTGGGGTGTCGCAGTCCCTCGAAGAACTAGTGGGACAATAATAGCAGCCAACCATAGAGCTCCGTATGGAGGCTAATACCACGTGGCAAGTATATGAATCTCAATAACTCCAATTATCTCCTTTCCCCACCCAAAATAGATGCACAGAGTTCAAAATGACACATTTATATGCATAATCAACAGAATTTCATAATAGCACATCATAATCATGATCACCAATTTCTTGCAATACAAACTATGTTAATCCTTTTTAAAATAGCATCCCACAAGACAGTTCATATAAAACGTAATATACTTTTATAGAATTAGTTATAAAGCCGCTCACCAACTTCATACTAGAGCATGCAACAGATAGAAATTTAGTTACCTGGTCTCCTAGCTATCAGTCAACTACAACCAGAGTCCAACCCCGAAAATGCCACAATAGAGTTTATATCTACAAACAAAATTAAAATATTATCTCTATAGTATTGGAGTAGGCTACTCACAAAATTCTAGCCTCTAACTCCTTCTCTAAAAGCTTTAATTTTACTCGGAACTCTAGCCTAAAAGACATTTCTCTAAGGTTTGGAATAAGAACATATATATATGTGATTTAGACTCGATTCCTAAATTTTCTTACTTAAATATCCTTTAATTATTAGATTATTTTATTAGAATCATCAAATTCATAATGGAAATAGACAAACTATAATTTATAACTTATATTCCATCTTCGAAAGACTTAGACAAATAGACTTAGTACGACCCAAGTTATTCTCAGTACAGAAGTTAAACCCATAATCTAACCGTTGAATTCAATTTCCTATCCATCATGATACTATCCTCCAAATTATAGCTCAATCTAACGGTGAATAAACTTTAAAATGCTAATTTACTATTCAGGACTCTATCTGCTAAATCCAAAAGATATAAGTTAAAAACGTACCTAATAACTTGTAACTCGAAGATCAAAAGGGTGATCCGACCGTTGAAATTAACAATTTGGATGTCCCAAATGGACCGACCAAATTTCAGTCCGATCCAACGGTTAATAAAATCAAAACTAGCACTTTTCTGAGACTACCTCAGATATGTGCGAAAATTATTTACTTACTCCAAGCTCCACTCACTAGCTCCTATATATAGGCTCCTCAAACTCCTTCACTCTAAAGATTAGTCGATGTGGGACTTCTATACTATGGTTTAATTTTCTAGAATATCATCCACACATACACACAATCACATACAAAAACATTATTAAAATAATAATAATAATTTGCCTATATCTAACTTCTTCTTTTTTTTTTTTCTTAATACTAAAATATATTTATTTATAAATTTAATTAAATACTAGATAAAAAATAAGGATGTTACAGTTCTCCCCACCTAAAGAAATTTTGTCCTCAAAATTCAATAAAGGACGACGTGTTCATACCTTTATCGAATAGATGAGGATAGTCACGACGCATTCTCTCCTCAGTTTCCCAAGTAGTATCCCCATGTGACATGCCCTTCCAGAAGACTTTGAGGAGTCTAATAGTCTTATTCCGCAATTCCTTATCCTTGACATCAAGGATTCTCTCTGGTTCTGCTTTGTAAGTCAAGTCTTCTCGTAGTTCTACCTCTTCTAATTCTATAACATGTGATGGGTCCGGTTGGTATTTCTTCAATTGGGAAACATGGAATACATCATGTACCTTTGACAAGTGTGGAGGTAGTGCAATGCAGTAGGCTACTGACCCAATTCTTTCTAGGATTTCGTACGGTCCGATGTATCTGGGTGTCAACTTTTTAGCTTTAATGGATCTACCAATACCGGTAGTAGGAGATACCTTCAGGAACACATGATCCCCTACCTCAAACTCTAGCGGCCTTCGTCTTTGATCGGCGTAGCTTTTTTGTCTACTTTGTGCAGTTAGCAACTTTCGTTTGATTACCTCAATCTTCTTGGTGGTCTCATCCACATACTCAGGGCCAATAATAGTCCTTTCACTCAACTCTGTCCAACACAATGGCGATCTGCACTTTCTGCCATATAATGCTTCAAATGGTGCCATTTGTATGCTAGAATGGTAACTATTGTTATAAGCAAACTCTGCTAATGATAAGTGGCTATCCCAACTCCCTCTAAACTCAATAACACAAGCTCGAAGCATATCTTCCAATGTTTGTATGGTTCTTTCGGTTTGTCCATCAGTCTGCGGGTGGTAAGCTGTACTAAAACACAATTTGGATCCCATTGCCTCTTGTAACGATTTCCAAAATCCTGATGTGAACCTGGGATCGCGATCTGAGACTATACTTATCGGGGTTCCATGAAGTCTAATTATTTCTGAGACGTACATCTGTGCTAGCTTTTCCATCGAGTAGTTCATTTTAATGGGTAAAAAGTGGGCGGACTTTGTTAACCGATCCACAATAACCCATATGGCATCAAAACCTGCCGGCGTTCTTGGTAATCCCGTAATGAAGTCCATAGAGATACTCTCCCATTTCCATTTGGGTATATCTAGATTCTGCAACAAGCCTGGGGGTTTTAAATGTTCGATCTTCACTCTCTGACAAGTGAGACACTTCTGTACATACTCTGTCACATCTCGCTTCATCCCTGGCCACCAATATTGTTGTCTCAAGTCATGATACATCTTGGTGGCTCCTGGATGCATGGTATATTTACTTCGATGGGCTTCCTCTAATACTAGCCTCTTAATTTCTTCATTACTTGGAATGCACACCTTCCCTTGGTATTTTAAAATACCATCCTCCCCAAGGCTATAATCCTTTACCTCTCCTTTCTGTAACTCTTTCTTAATTCTCTTAGGTGCTCATCTTGTAATTGAGAAGCCATAAGTTCCTTCCTTAAATCAATCACCTTAACATCTGATAATAAGGTAGGTGAGCTGGAAAACCCTGCTATCCCTCAAGCTCTCCAGTAAGTAGTACTCTCTCAGATTCATACAGAGTACGTGAACCGTTTTTCGGCTTAGGGCATCTGCGACCACGTTTGCCTTCCCTGGGTGATATCTCAGTTCAAAATCATAATCTTTTAGGAATTCTAGCCACCTTCGCTGCCGGTTGTTTAATTCCTTCTGATCCATCAAATACTTTAAGCTTTTATGGTCACTAAGTACTTCAAACTTTGAACCATAAAGATAGTGTCTCCAAATCTTAAGGGCAAATACCACTGCTGCCAGTTCTAATACGGCACCTAAACCTTTCAATGAGGCATCAGTATATAGGGTATATGGTCGATTCGGGTCAGGGATGGTAAGTACAGGTGCGGTTGTTAATCGGGTTTTCAACTCTTGGAATGCAGCTTCACACTTATCAGTCCAGATGAATGGTTGATCTTTCTTTGTCAGTTTTGTTAATGGCATGGCGATCTGAGAGAATCCTTTGATAAACCTACGATAGTATCCTGCTAATCCCACAAAGCTTCTAATCTCTGTAACTGACTTGGGTGACTCCCATTTCAGCACAGCGTCTACTTTACTCGGGTCTACTGCCACCCCCTCTGCTGAAACCACATGGCCTAGAAAGTTTACTTCCTTCAACCAAAACTCACACTTGCTTAACTTTGCATAAAGCTTGTGATCTTTCAACACTTGTAGTGCAACTCTTAGGTGTTCTCGATGTTCTGCTTCACTTTTTGAATAGATTAAGATGTCATCAATAAATACAACTATGAACTGGTCCAGATAAGGTCTAAAAATTCGATTCATGTAGTCCATAAACACTGCTGGGGCATTAGTCAACCCAAATGGCATCACCAGAAACTCATAATGTCCATATCTTGTACGAAAAGCAGTCTTAGAGATATCTGCTGCTTTAACTCTAAGTTGATGGTAGCCTGACCGCAAATCAATCTTAGAAAAGACTGAAGATCCCACTAGCTGATCTAATAGATCATCTATTCTAGGCAAGGGGTACTTGTTCTTGATTGTTACCTTGTTCAATTGTCGATAGTCGATGCACAAACGCATGCTTCCATCTTTCTTCTTAACAAACAACACTGGAGATCCCCATGGGGATACGCTGGGTCTAATGAACCCTTTCTCGAGAAGTTCCTCTATTTGTCTTTTTAATTCATTCAACTCAGATGGAGACATTCGGTAAGGAGTCTTGGATATAGGTGTCGTGCTTGGTATTAAATCAATTGTAAACTCAACTTCTCGTTCAGGAGGTAACCCGGTCATTTCCTTAGGGAAGACTTCAGGAAATTCCCTAACCACGTCAATATGATCGATTCCTTCGTCGGTATCCACTTGTATTGAGAAGAACACCGCATAGGCTTGACATCCTTTTCGTATGCATTCATCTACTTGCGCGGTGGATAAGAATATTGTCCACTAGATGGTTCTGTAGGCACCACATCTTCAGGGAAGACAACTACTCTTTTTCTACAATCTAGCACGGCATTATTACGTGATAACCAATCCATCCCAATAATTACATCCATTCCTTGTAATGGCAAACAAATTAGATCTATTGTTGTTCTACGGCCTTTAAAGTCTAATGTAAGGTTTAAACAAGCTTGAGTAGTTCTAACAGACAAACCCGCAGGAGTAGACACACTCAAAATAACAGGCATCTCAAAGATGTGCAAATTAGAATGCAAGACATATTTATGGGAAACAAAGGAATGGGTAGCACCAGAATCAAAGAGTGCTTCGACATTATGTCCCTGAAGGGATATCATACCTTTGATGGCGTTAGGGGCAGCACCTACTTCCTCTCGAGTAATAGCAAAGACACGGCCTGGCATTATTGATCGAGTATCCCTGGAGTTCTGAATGTTATGCTGATTCTCAGGACAATAACGAGCAATGTGCCCCATCTTGTGACACTTGTAGCATTCCCAACATTTTCCTGGATGGTTCCTTCCACATTGTAAGCAAGGTCCATGGATAGTAGGGGTTGACATCACTGATTCATGATGAGTGATCGGGTTTCTATTAGACTGAGATCTTGAGATTGTGCTCTTCTGGGCTAAGCCCTTCTGTACAGACTTCTTGTGGCTTAAACTTCGATTCTTTCCATATGGACCTACACTTCCTATGCCCGTATTATTTCTCTTACTAATCCCTCCACTTGGTCCAAGGTATGAGGAAAACCGCCCTTGAGAATCCCTTCTACGAGCTTCCTCAGCCTCACGAGTCCGCCTAGCTGCAACTCGAAGGTTGGTACACATATCTCCAAAATCAGTCACTGGAACCAGGGCCAGTTGTTGCTTCAAGTCTGGTCTAGCTCTTTCTCGTAATTGCCTAGCCATCCACCCTGAGTCCTCATCCCTCCGCAATAATGTCACATACTTGGACAAGTCTATAAACTTAGCAATGAAGTCATCTTCATGCATATTGTTTTGTTGCAAGGCAAAGAACTCTGATTCCTTGTCTTGACGTAGGGCAGGTGGGAAATAGTGATCGAAGAACATCCTCTTGAATTCATTCCAAGTAACTTGTGAGTCATCAGCTGGGCTCACACTTTCCCACCAGCGCTTAGCTCGTCCCTCTAACAGTACAATAGCTACTTGCACTTTATGCTGAGTAATGCAAGGGGCAGCTCTGAAAATGGTCTCCAGTTTATCAATCCACCTTCAGCCTCAACTGGATTCATGTCACCCTTAAATCTCGGGGGATTATGACGGCTCACATCTTTCCATACTGTTTTCATTGAAACATCCACTAGCGGGGTTTGTTGGACCGTTTCTTTCCCGCTCTCAGTACTTGGAGCACCTCGCTCTCTAGACTGCAAGTCACCTACACTCTTACTCTCAACTCTCAACTGGGTTTTCCTCTGGTCTGATCTCTGAATTTCTTTTTCCCATCATATCCTCCTCCAACTTCTTAAGCCTTTCTTCCACGACTTCATCAGCCACTACTTGTCGTAATTGCGTCAGTAGAACCTCGTTATTCTGCTGTTGAGGTTGCTCGGGTAGTTGATCATTAGGTTGATTAAGAAGTTGTTCCGGAGAAGAAGAAGCCTCCTACTATGGGTTCAGTCCTTCGTGGTCTTGCCATTCTCCCCACCTAAGGATGGAACCCATGAATACAACCAAACGAAAGAAAACACAAAAACTAAAGACATTTCAGGGAAGTTTATGTAACTACGTATATTGCCACTATATGCATGCAGGAAGCAATTCAAAATCACAAAAAGGAAAAACCAATGGCTCTGATACCAAAATGTAACATCACCACTTACTAACCAGAACTAACCATGATAGAAAAGATTAAACTAGTAAACATACCCTATCATGGTTATTTAAGAGCAATCACATCTTTAAAGGGCTAACCATGATAGAAAAACATTCGACCTTAATTAAGACTATCATGGTTAGAAAAAGAATAACCTATAGTTGTAATCACGGCAAACATGGTTATAAAACAATACGCCTTTGAATAATAAATTATAATAGTAGTTTAGACTTGACTATCTTAGTCAGCACTAGCAACAACTAAACTTGCCAAAATTGCCATTATCGCATCGTGGATCCACAGTAATTCAATCACATGCAATCTAAGGCCTCAGGCCCACTACCAGCACTCTAGTCCAATGTCCAGACAAAATAAACCAAAGATAGAAAGTATGATACGTTCCACTAGTCAAACGACATAAAATATAAGGAGGTAAAATAAGTTCCAATGAATGCAGTCCTGATGCGTGGCAATATACGAAAAGATTACATAAAACAAAGTCCAGAAGCTCTACACTGTCAGCTACAGCTATTGAGCCTCAGGAGTCTTCCCCGAAGGTCCCGCTAACGTATTGTTTCCTGAAAATGGTAAAGCAACAGGAGTGAGACAACGTCTCAGTAACTAAATCCCTACCTATCCCACACCCTAGCATGGGCTAGCGAGGTGTCAGGTGGGATACACAGAGTTAATAATAGTTGATAACCTTTATTTAACATTTAAACTCACAATAATCATACAAGACAAATATTTCCACCAGTCTCATGCAATGGATACATTTCAAAAGAAATAACATACTTGTCTTTATTTAAAAGATATAAATCAATGAATATCTCATGTCATATGCAATTCCTGAACCCAAACCCATCCTTATATCCTCCTTATTTCCGCCGACTGGACCCATGGGCTAAGTTCTTTCCATTTGATTGGCAACTCTAACAAGCTCACCACACGAATGATGTGGACCGGCCAAAGACCACAGAGCACTCGGTGGACCATGGGTCCCCCCTCGAAGAACTAGTGGGGTGTCGCAGTCCCTCGAAAACTAGTGGGACAATAATAGCAGCCAACCATAGAGCTCCGTATGGAGGCTAATACCACGTGGCAAGTATATGAATCTCAATAACTCCAATTATCTCCTTTCCCCACCCAAAATAGATGCACAGAGTTCAAAATGACACATTTATATGCATAATCAACAGAATTTCATAATAGCACATCATAATCATGATCACCAATTTCTTGCAATACAAACTATGTTAATCCTTTTTAAAATAGCATCCCACAAGACAGTTCATATAAAACGTAATATACTTTTATAGAATTAGTTATAAAGCCGCTCACCAACTTCATACTAGAGCATGCAACAGATAGAAATTTAGTTACCTGGTCTCCTAGCTATCAGTCAACTACAACCAGAGTCCAACCCGAAAATGCCACAATAGAGTTTATATCTACAAACAAAATTAAAATATTATCTCTATAGTATTGAGTAGGCTACTCACAAAATTCTAGCCTCTAACTCCTTCTCTAAAAGCTTTAATTTTACTCGAACTCTAGCCTAAAAGACATTTCTCTAAGGTTTGAATAAGAACATATATATATGTGATTTAGACTCGATTCCTAAATTTTCTTACTTAAATATCCTTTAATTATTAGATTATTTTATTAGAATCATCAAATTCATAATGGAAATAGACAAACTATATTTATAACTTATATTCCATCTTCGAAAGACTTAGACAAATAGACTTAGTACGACCCAAGTTATTCTCAGTACAGAAGTTAAACCCATAATCTAACCGTTGAATTCAATTTCCTATCCATCATGATACTATCCTCCAAATTATAGCTCAATCTAACGGTGAATAAACTTTAAAATGCTAATTTACTATTCAGGACTCTATCTGCTAAATCCAAAAGATATAATTAAAAACGTACCTAATAACTTGTAACTCGAAGATCAAAAGGGTGATCCGACCGTTGAAATTAACAATTTGGATGTCCCAAATGGACCGACCAAATTCAGTCCGATCCAACGGTTAATAAATCAAAACTAGCACTTTTCTGAGACTACCTCATATGTGCGAAAATTATTTACTTACTCCAAGCTCCACTCACTAGCTCCTATATATAGGCTCCTCAAACTCCTTCACTCTAAAGATTAGTCGATGTGGGACTTCTATACTATGGTTTAATTTTCTAGAATATCATCCACACATACACACAATCACATACAAAAACATTATTAAAATAATAATAATAATTTGCCTATATCTAACTTCTAACTTCTTTTTTTTTTTTTTCTTAATACTAATATATTTATTTATAATTTAATTAAATACTAGATAAAAATAAGGATGTTACAGTAATGGTCACTTGGGAGGCACCACAATCTGGGTGGTGCAAACTAAATGTGGATGGGAGGGTATCGTGTGATGGAATAGCAGGTTGTGGAGGAGTTATAAGGGGAGATTGTGGGGAATGGCTGAGTGGCTTTTTAGTTAGATTAAATAATTGCAGCTCCCTGGAAGCTGAAGCATGGGCAGTCCTCGAAGGTCTAATATTATGCTGGGATATGGGGTTCAAAAGAGTTGAAGTGGAGACAGATGCTGCACAGATCACTGGAGCTGTGCTATTTATAACAACACGGTAATAGGAAATGTGCAAATATTCACAAGGATTAGGATGATGCTGGAAAAGACGTGGCAAGTGTAGGTGAAACATGGATATAGAGAGAGTAACAGAGTTGCGGATAAAATGGCTCACTTGAGTGCTCAACAAAGTGACAGGAGAAAGATTTGGTCCTTGCCACCTCCGAAAGTATATCAGATGCTCCAAGATGATTGTTCAGGATTAGGTGTCATTCGTAGAGTGAATATGTAACTTCTTGGGTTATACCCTCCTTCACCAAAATAAAAAGAAGGTAAATTGATTGAAGTACAATTCGAATTTGTTTGCTCCGATCCAATTAGAACACCTTTTTTGGTACATGCCTTTTTAAGCCTAGGCAAAAAAATAGTACTCATTCGGTACTTAATGTAAAAGCTAATTAACATATTTGAATAGATTAAATATATTAGTTAGATTAATTAATATGATATGTTTTTTTAAAAATATCCTAATCATCTTCTTTAATTTTCTTTCTCCATCTTCTACTTAATTATTGTTGAATAAATATTAATAGAGTTAATTTGATAAAAAATTAATAAACATGTGAAATAAATCTTACATATGAAACCAACATTAACTCTTAAATTAGATCCTATATTTAGCATGAAGAGTAATTTTTTAATTGAGTTTTAATTTCCTCACTTCTCAAAAGCATCTTAGTTCTGGACATTAAAAAATAGTCATTAAACACCACCCGCATCAAAGAGGAATAAGCATTTTGTTTGGGTAACTTATCTTAAATTATACTACCTTCCGTCTTTAATAGAAGAGTTAGTTTAATTTTTTATTTGGTTTTAAATATAAAACCCGAATCTACGTCATCTCTCATATTTATTCATTTTTTTAATATAGTATTTATTATAGTTACACAAATTAGATGTTTCATCAAATGTTAAAGCTGATACACTTGATTAACAAAAATATTTTAAAGAACAATACGTATTATTACAAATAAATAATTTAAATTTTTTTAATCTACTAAAATAATCAACTAGTTCTTATATTAAGAATAAAAATGTATATTTTTTTCAAACAGAAAAACTCAGATTAGAATAACAATTATGCGATCATTATGACCAGGAATAGTCATCAATCATATATCTCGCTTAAATGAAAAGCATGTAAGTCAAAAGAAATCTCACTTAAACAAACAAATGTTGCACCTTTTTTGGTCTGAACAAACACTATAACAGAAATATTTTCACATATTTTAATTTTAATCAATCACCTAACAATTCAAAAGAAAAGGGGGGCGGGAAGCCAGCTATCCACGTCAGCTAGAAACTTCATTAAAAATTGTTGTGGTCATTCCACCGCTGTGACTTGAATAGAACCAACAAATGTAATAACAGTAATAGCATGTTTTCAATTTGTGTGCCCATTGGTAACCCATAAAACACTTTGAGCCACCAACAGGGCCGCCAATCTGATCCGAATAGCTTATTCTCATTTCCTTTTAATTTTATCGAAAGGAACGGAGAATTGCTTCCGAGGTTGACTTTGTTCGTCGTTGAGATCGATTTGAAATTTCCCTCTGTCGTAGCATCCGATTGAAAGGGGAATCAATCATCGATACTTCCAATAGCGAGCAAAGCGAGCGAATATATGGCGTGCATTGTAAATTTCCCAGCACTTACAAATCCCAATCAGCCTCATGCTTCTTCTACTACCTGTCGCCTTTTCGCTGCTCTGCGAACTTGTCTAAGTCTCTTGCTTCCCAGCTTTCTTTCGTTTCTTCCTTTGATCATGGATTTGGCTCTGATGCCTCATTAGATTTCACTTGAAGAAGTCTCCGACGATGAAGGC